CCCCCGCTCCGGCTCCCCGCGCTGCCCACGCGTGCCCCGGCCCCGGGCGGGTGGCGCGGCCCCCGCAGCCGCCGCGGCTTCCCCGGGGAGCGCCGGGCCGGCACAAAGGCGGGTGCCAGCGCGCCCCGACCGCAAATATGACAAGTATCCCTGCTATCCGGTGGCGGGGACCCGGCCGGGGCACGGGGCTCTGCCAGCCCTGCTCCCCCCTCCCCTCCTCCCCCCCTCCCCAGATTGTCCCGCTACAACCCAAAATTCTCCCCCCGCACCTCCGGTCAGCCCCCGGCCTGGCCAAGCAGAGCCGGGGCGAGGGGGCGATGTGGAGAAAGCCCGGAGCGCTGCTGGCCGCCCCCCGCCCCGGGACCTCACCTGGGAGCCGAGGGAGGCGGCGGCCCCCGTCCGTGGAATCCTCGCTGCTAATTTGGGCTGTGCAGATACCACCGAAGCACAAAAATGAGGCCAAACGGAGATGTTCGAGCGCGCGAAGACTTGGGGGAAGGAGGGAAGCGCTCGCCACCAGGCGCTATCTGGAAAGAAGATGATTATTTTAAGTCACCTCAATGACTGTGTTTCCAAAGGGGCTGTAATCCCAGCCGGCGCTGTTAAAGGCGATTCAAACACCTTATAGTTTTGGCTGTAGCCCCAGCAGGCATTTCGGATCGTTCCGGCCTTTCATGTTCCACTAAACCGGTTGTACTTCGGGACAATAAACCTTTAACACCTAATATAAAGGCGATTATTAGTCATTAATACCACAACTCGTTTAGGTATTATGCTCAAAACGTTCTGTAATGATTTGTGATCAATCAAGATGATGGTCTTGCTAGAAACTAAGTTCCATTTTCAGTTAGAAAACCGAAAAGGAAAAAAAGGATACTTCTAGAAGAAAGGTTTCCTTACCCTGGAAACTGTATCTGACAAAAATCCACAAAGGAAAAACAACACCAAGTAATTAAAATAGTGAATCTGCCAAAACAAAAGGAGACTAAGTGCTGATTTTATGGATTCTTAAAATTAGAATCGAAAAGGCCCCATCTAATTGATGTTTAAACACCATGACTAGCACTTGAGCACTCTGCTGAAATCACTAAAAAGGGAGGCAAGGGCATCAGATCCTAAAACTGACGTTTTATTTTACCGGTTTGGAGGCCTCAGCACACCTTTCCCTTTCCGCCCGTGCTATCAGCCATTCCCCTTCGAGGAGATCCAAGCTCTCTCATCCCATATGGCTGGCACAGAGTTAACCCTAAACCAATCTGCAAAGCAATTCACGGACCGTTTACTAGATTTTGACGAGTGATTCGCGAATTTCCCAGGAGCTGGCAAACATTAAAACCAGAATCTCCCTGGCTGGATACTTTCCAGCAGCAAGGCACTGAAATTTGGTTCTTCTGCCTGGGGAAACAAGTCTCTCCCTGAAATTACCAGCATCACGATAAAATCACTAAGTAAAAGGAAAAGGTTCAGTTTCTTTAGGGCCTGTGTGATACCTGTTCAGTGGGCTTCTGCCTACTCAAAGGCCACACAGAATATCTGTAATACTTGCACATTGTTGGCTGGATTGTTTGGGGTTTTTTTTTTGCATGCCAGATTCACTGAATTTCAGGGCCCCATTCCGCCCTCCTTTACACCAGATTTGTAACACAGCGGGATCTGGCCTTGCGCAATTGCGCCGTGGATGCGCCCAGCCGAGCAGCGCCCGCCTTCCGGAGCTCAAAGTCCGCAGCAGGTTTACAGTCCCCGTGCCTGGGTGTGTGCACGCTATCACCGGCACCAGAGGCAGAACCACAAACATTTGCTAAATAAGCAGCTGGGCTCCAGCCCGATATGCACAGCCCTGATCTTGCCATGTTACACTCGGCAGGAAAAAGCCTGAGCCTGTGTCATTCGAGTTTTAAATGCTTCTGACTTCGCTCGGTTGCTCCAGTTTTACACCAGCATAAGAAAAAGCTCACCGCCCCTTCTGTTTCCTACTGTAACTCTCCCGAGTCTTTCTTGGCAGGAGTTTATAGTCACGCTGTAACTCAAATTGTGCCTCTGAACACAGCTAGTACAACCTGCATGCACACTCAGAAGCACTCCCAGCTGAGCATAGGTCACGATACGAATCGATATGAATAGAGCTCCTTCCTGTGCTTCATGCACAGCACAGGCTCCGGCGCGGCGGGACGAGGTTGGGCTACACAAGGAGAGTAATCCCGCTGCCGACTGCTCCTCACATGGCCTCACACCTGATTGAGAGAGACCTTTCTGGCCAGGAAAGTCTGCTCTGCAGCTCTGGAGCGGCCTGACCAGAAGGTGTTTGCAAGACCCAAATGCAGTTTGCCCGAACACGTCAGTAAGCGTGGAGAAGCAGCCTGCAACGGAGCCACAAAATGCTGTGCTAGGAAGTGTGTCGGCAGAGCTTTCCAGAGCCTGTGGGAGCAGGAGGGGGGAAAAGCCTGAGTGTCTGCAAGGAGGAGCCACCCAAAATGCATCCCATTTCAGAACCATGCAAGCATGGGCTTCCCAGGGAGCAGTAGCACAGGTTTAGTTGTGCTGCCATAGCCTTGCCACAGGCCCTTGAGCTGCTCACATGTGAAGATGACACAGTAGAAGAGAAGGAGCCGAGCTGTGCCTTTCTGCAGCAGTACCTGACGTGGGCTGCAGGCACAGCCTGAGTGCAGCCCTGGCTTTGAGCAAGGATGGTCAAAGCCTGCCTGGTTGAGGCCCGGTCTCATGAAGATCATTCAAAAACCACCCCTGCATTGAAGATAAATAAATGAACAAGGTAATAAATGAACAAACAGAAATCAAAGATTGGGGAGGGGGAAACACTGAGCTTCATAAATCTATTAATTAGGAACACTACAGACTGCCAGGTAATCTGCCCATCAACACGCGTGCTAATTAGGAAAGAGTGGCAAAGTTTGGTGTGCTGGAATGTTGGCATCCCTTGCATTTTTCAAAAATAGAGGGAGTGAACTGCTTCCTATGCTTCTAATTGCATCCTTGGCCTTTTCCTCTCCGATTGCAGTACATATGAATACTATGATATTTCATCAGTTAATTGTTCAACACAACTTCATTTTCTCCATGGATGTCTTTGCTTTGGTGCATGCAGGAGCTGGCAGGCAAACACCCAATACTGCCCCCCAGAGCAGACAACTTTTTGCAGATAAAGACCCCCTCAGCACTGGTAACTTGGGAAAAGCTAAACAAAGGGCCTGCCTACAGCCAGAGCTGCTCGTTCCACTCGAGCAGCGCTCCTCACAGAGCAGC